TTACCTAGGCCCAGGGTGTACCGTTCTTTGCAGTAGGGAGAGAGAAGGCCAACACTTGTCATTTAGTGTGACCCATACTTATCTTTTTGGATTATTATCTAAACTGGAAATTCACTTACATCTCGTTTATACTTTCCACTGATAATGTTGTCTAAAATCACTTTTCCAATGCTTGTCAACGAGTTGCCACGACCACCCATGTTGAAAATGATGTTTCCAGCTATAGCGCCAATAATCGCTCCAGTTTCCTAAAACTCTTTTCTAAAGGATATTTGGTAGCGATTGTTATATTAGAATGCTAACTATCTTGAAAAGGCCATACCGGATTGATCCCGAGAAACGATGGGCGGCCTCGCCAAGCATTTTTTCCACAATTGATTCCATACCTCCAGATGACATAATATTGGTTAAACCTGTAAAAATTGAGGATTATTTGTTACCACCAAAATATTTGCGGGCCAAGTTGTGCGTAAAAAAAACTAAATTGAAGGGATACGAATAAAACGAGAGCTGAACAATGCAAAAATAAATAAGACAAAAATAAACAACATTCTAGTCAAGAAAAAAAACTCATGTAAGCGAAATAACTAGAACGGTCCGTTTCGCATATTTCTAACGCATTTTTCAAAGTTCCAACAATCACCTTCTCCTCCGGCAATCTGGCTAATGGAACCAACAATATCGCCCAGGTTGCCTCCACCAAAGCCGTCAAATGCTCCTGTAAAAGGTCTGAGTAAACACATTATGAGCCTTGAAGTAGCGATTTCTAAACATCCTCTCATTTCGGAACGCGGAAATATGAAGAAAACTTTTACTTCGCAAGCCTTTGGACGACCGAACAGTATCACCTCGAGTTTTTGCACAGTTTTCTTTGATATTTGATCAACAAAAATTTTAAAATTTGTTGATATGTGTATTAACAAGTTTGGTTAAGCTGTAAAGTTTATAAGTGGTCTAATGCCCTTGCAGAACAAGACAACCCTTGTGACGAGACATTCACGTCCTCAAAACAACCTCGAAACAGCCTCACTTTTTAGCCCATAAAACACCAGACATCATCTAACTTTTTGACTGCTTATTTCACGTAGACTTGTCCACGTTCCCAATAAATGATTAAAACTACTGGACAATGTCCTGCAAGGTGAGCCACGGCAGGAGATTCCCCGACAGAAGGTCATATTTATGTAACTTGGTAGAAGGAGAGGATCGCATTCATTCGGGATTGTACAGGAAGTAGGGTGCAGATTTTAAAACATCATATCCGAGTGCGAAAAAAAGAAATAAAATTTGCTATTCTAGTGGTTACATATATGTAGTTCCCAGCAGGTACCACAGTACACGAGCGAACCGGACATGCCGATAACATCAAGTCCGCATATATAAGGACCACAGAGTTGAGGATCTCGTCCAAAGTTAGGATATTACATGAAAATCTAGTAAAGTGAATTTTCGCACCTTTCACTAGGCTCCCAAGTCCACCACCGCCACCGCCACGATCTCCTACTGCATTCAGATCCTCGGCATTCGTCTCATGACTCACCGCCTGTTCTTCCTGAACAATGGTTTGTTACTATTAAAAAAGAAAGATCAGCCCCAGTGTCAACCATTCGTTGGCACTATTCGAACGAGAAGATCGCATTTGTGATTTTGGGAAAGGGCAGGGGTTTGATTATGTGGGTGAGCCAGGTCATAGAAAAAGGGTGTAATGACGGGTCATTCACTTCACGAATTTGGCGAAAATTCTTACAAAAGTAGCGGTAAACCTAGACAAAATTATTGGATTTGTCGCTTCATTTTATCAATTTTCCTCCTCCCTCCGCTCGAAACGCAGAGGGCAAAATTGGGCGGAGTTAGGTTTGTTGAACTGGTCTAGCGTCAAGGACGGTGACGGCGGAGGGGGGAGGAGCCGTCGCTTAAGATTTTGTTAAATGTGCGAACGCGACAGCTATCTCTGCTCAGGCCTGAGCTCAGCTAGTTTGGCCACGACACGTTCATCGATGACAGTCCAACAGAAAGATGCGCATATGCCTCCATCTAGACCAGGTGGAACTTTTCCTTTAACCCTTTCCGGACCGCGCACTTTTTGCGCTCACGGCCGCATGCTGCGCGGCAAGCATAAATATCATATATTTAATCTGTATTCCCACTAAAGCCATTATTTTGTCTCGTTTATGTCTTTGTCATGTCTCGAAGAATATATAAGATTAATTTGACAGAAAACTGTTTTGCAAAAAAAGGGAAAGGGCCATAAAAAGGGAGGAAGGGACGAAAATTGTTCAAAATAAGTTGGTATGGAGAAAAAGGGAGTAGAACGTGCCCAAAACGATTGGATCCATAAGAATCAGATACGACGAGCAGGATATTTCACAAATTCTTCGTTTTTAAGTGTTTTCAAGCGAACTACAACTG